CCAGCCTATTCAGGCCGAGATTATCAAAATCAACTCGGGGCTGTCTCGGGGGCAGCTAAACACACTTTGATTTCATAAAGACATAACTGATCCCACATGCAAATTAATAATTTTGATTGCCGGGGTTCTTAGGGTTAGGGGCTTTCGCGTTTTTTTTTTTTTTTTTCCGGTGCTAAAGTGCGTTTGTCGGCAAACAGCAGTTTCGTCAGAGCACTCTGCTGCGCTCTCGGTGCGGCTGCTGGCGGGGCAACGGGCAAAGCGTTTCTGAAACTCACCTCGCTGGCACAGAGCTCGCGGAACCAAGGATAAGCAAGTCAAGGGCGACGGCAGAAAACCTCGCAGTCCCAGCACGGCTGCGAGTAACGGATGTGCGGGTGTCGCACCTCCCGCCGCAGCGCTTGCGGGTCTCCCCTCCCAGCCAGCCCTGCAGCCACTTGGAAAACGCCTCTGCTTCCTCCAGGAGGAACACAGCACACGCTCAACCGTGCTCAACACTGAACACGAACCCCCGGCTACCCGGTGCTGTCCTGCGATCAAATGGGCTGCGTGGCCGGGAACTCCGTGAATTTGTCCCCTCAAAAGGCCCTGAGTCACAGCCCGGTCACGGCGCATGTGTTTGGACCTCGGGGTGTGTGGCCTCCTCGAGTAATCGCTGCACAAAACACTCTGAGCAGCCGCCGAGCTGTCTCTGCTCCCAACTTCCCTGAGCACACTGGGGCTTGGATCGGGCCCCAGAGCCACCCCTCATTAGCCCCCAGGTCCCCACGGAGGGACCCAGGAGACCTCCGGGCGGCCCACGGCCAGAGGACTGTCGCCCAGGCCAGGCTATAGGAAAGGTCCCCACAACAGCCCAGCGGGACGGGCCGTGGTCCTAACATCCAAATAATCATTTCACAAATTATCATAATTATCCATCAATCACCCCGTTTGGACAGTGAGAGGCTGGGCTATCAGATGACTTTTATGACCTGTAGCTTTTTGTACGTAATAATAACGGGGAGAGATTTATGGACCCATCAGCGGCCCCTCTTCCAGCGGTATGAGTTTATTAGCTCTATTTATTTTTGACTCTCCGCTAAGCTCTGCCCTCCCGCCCTCGCCCTGGGGGCTGTCGGGGTGGCCGCGTTTTTCCAAGCTCCTGAAGAGGCTCCGTTGGCAGGTGCCCCGTCCTGGCCCTGCTGATGCAGGTTCCAGACATATGCATTTAGGGGGAGGGGTGGGGAAAAGGAGAAGAGAAAAAAAAAAGAGAAAGGCCATTTCCTTTTGTTTGTGTTTTCTCCCAGTTGTTCTGCACTAACACGTCCTTCCTTCTCCGACGCGGGGAAACAAGATAAGGCGGACAAAGGGAAGGCCATCGGCCTGTGTTCCCCTTTTCATATCGCGGAGAGATTGAATGAGAATTCTTTCAGCCGATACCATCTCCCGGGTGGACTACACTCTTGTTAACGGATAAATTCGAGCCCTCCAGAAAGTCAAAGAATAAATTTAAGCCTTTTGCCAAATGTCTATCCTATTGGATTTTGATAAGACAGCCATTGAGCCTTAATAATGTCCCCATCCATTTCCAGCGAGCCCTTAACACGGCTCTTTATCTGTCCCCAAAGCCTCTTCACCCGGCCTTTTTATTACCGGCTCCGGCGGGCTCTCCAGGGAGCCGCGCGCCCGGTGATGGATGGACGGCCGGCTAGATTATCTCCCGCAGATGTTTGCTCCCCGCAGCCCCGGGCTCTCCCTCTAAGTAAACAGAGACCAAACAGAGTCGGGGGAGCCGTCCCAGAGGTCCCAGCACTGAGTCGCAGCCGACCTGCAGCCAAAGTGACTTTTAGGGAAGCGCCGTGACGGGCGCAGGGCTGGGCGTGGGGACGGCGAGGGCACCAGGACAGGGCCGGCACAGTCTTAGCGTAAGCACCTGAGTCTGGGGCTGTGGAGGCTGCGGGGGGCACAGGGTGGGGGGAAGAAGGGGCTCGGGAGGGAGGGGGCGGGTCCTCTGAGCCCACGGCGGCCCTGCCCCCATGCCAGTCTGGGCTCACAGGCCCGGATGCTGTCACTCTGGCAGGGGCCCCGCCTCGTGCTGCAGGCCCCTCTGTGGTCCTGGGTTCGAATCCAGCAGCACCAGACTCCCCCGGCCTGGGCCCCCTTGCCTGTGAATTCTGAATAGAATTCTGCAGCCTTCAGAAACCTGCTCCCCTGATACTTAGAACTCATCACCATGATGTCCCCACAAAATAGGACCTTTGTGCACCTCACTAGTCCAGCCATTGATTGGATAACTTGGTTACATTTCAAAGAAGCCAATAAAGAACACAAGTAGAATCCTCCTGAAGATGGACACACTGAAGCTCAGTGCTCCCAAGCGTGCCTTCGGGTGACCCAGACTGCAAAGTGACAAACCACAGCTCCCGCCCTATTGCCAAGGATCACACTGAATTAATCCCCAAAATAGCGCCCTGGTGCCCGCAAAGTTAACATTAATTGTAAACAAACCACACACGTGCACAGCGCTAGCCAACACATCTTTTCGTGAGGTGGCACCTTCTATCTGGACAAAAGTCAGACCGGGGCTGTCTTCCCAGTCTCCTGCGCACAAACCCTTGGCCTTTGAGCTCCAGCCTGTCTCTCAGCGCCAGCCCCTCCACCTCCCCCAGAGCATCTGGAAGTGTGGCCGGTGGGTCCAGATCGAAGCACCAGGCCGAGGTTTTTTATCACCCTCCAGCGTGACCTTGGACAACACTGAGTCCCCCATATGCTGGAATGTTCGCATTCAGTGGGAGGCTGGAAAAACAGTGGGGCTCAATTCAACGGCCTCGGAGTGCCGTGTGGCAGCTTCTCCGTCTGGGGAGAGGTGTGCCTGGGGACAGTGAGGACGCCCCAGGCAGCCCCTGCCCACCCAGGCTGGGGGTCAGGGCGCCCATTCAGAGGGGGCCCCGACGCTGGACCTGATGCTCCAGCTGCTGTGGGGTCGGGTCTGCCTGGCCTGCTTGACTTGGTGCAGCATCCGGCCGCAGACCCCTCTGCCCGGCCCGGCTCCTCCAACCGGCCTTGCGGGGGCCTGGGTGGGAAGGGACGCCCTGGCCTCACGGGGCAGAGCAGGTCCCTGCGCAGAGGGCACCTCACATCCACTCCTGAGCAGCCTCAGGAGGCACCTGGAGCCAAGTGAGACAAGCCTGGTGGGCTCGTTCACCAAACAAAACGCCAAAGCACCGGGAGCGCCACTCGCATCCTACCCTTCCTCACCTCGTTCCGGTGCAAAAGCATCCAGCACTTGCCTCTTCACGGCCCTTTGAATTCAGACTTGACCTTCTGACCCTCTGCCTTGACCCTTGTATCCAGCCTGCACGAGCCATCCCAGCATAAATTTATCACCTCTAACCTCCCGCCAGGCCACCTCCGCGCTGCCTTCAGCAGGGACACTGCCAAGGAGGAAGTCTCGCCGAATGCCACCCGGTCCAGCCATGTAATCGTGGCGGGAAAACCAAAGATTTCATGCTCACTCTAGACGTTAAGAGATTGGAGCTCAGTGCAGGCAGCTTTCTGGGAGCTGAAAACACTGCATTTCTTCGGAATACAGCAGAGCTGCTCAATGTCTCCTACTGCCCTGTGTCCTTTAAGGAAACAAGAAATCATCTAAGGAGGCAGAAGCAGAAAGAGGGAGCGGGAAGGAACCTCATGGAATGCACGTCACGTGCGCTCTAAGAAAGGCCTCGGGCACCCCCGGGCAGTGGGGACTGAGAACTGACACCTGCTCCCAGACGTCCTTCCGGAGGTCACCGCAGGGGCAGAAGATGTCTCCCAGGGCAGCATTTCCTCCAAAATCAGTGCCTCTGGGGTCAAACCCCGAGAGAAGAGGCAGGTCCCCATCCCTTCTGGGCAGCGCTGCCCAGACGCCTCGGCTTAGGCCATGGAGGTCTCGCGGAACTAGCAAGATGCTTCCTTTCCACCTTGGGCCCGCCTGACGCGGATGCTCGGCCCCCGTGGCGCGTGCGGGCTTTCCTAACCACAAGGCTCGGGCGCCCCTGAGCACACGTTCTGTGGCGCAGAATCCAGGTGTGGTTTTGACAGCGATACTAGCAGCACCTGGTCAGAGCCAGACGGCTCCAGGCAACGTAACCCTCTCCACGTTGTCTTGCCCGGAAGCAAAGATACCAAGAAAGAGGGTGCGACTTTATTCCTACTGGAAAACCCACAGTGCGAGAGCAGCCACCATGTGTGATCGTACGTGTACGTGTACGTGTGCTCGCGTGTTTGTGCGTGCACAGGGAACACACACTCAGCGGAAGCTGAGCTCTACCTGGTGAATGGGTTCGAGGTTTTGGAGACGATGCTGGATCCATCCCTCCTCCCGGCTATCTAGACTGCAGCCCGCACACCCGGAATGTGCGTGGCTCTGAGCGTGTGCTTTCTGCTGGGGATGTGTGTGCTTCTCTGAGCACAGTTCTCTCTCCGGATCTTTCAGAGCTGATGTCTGTCCACCAGCCGTTGCCCACCACCAGTCCGCAGAGCGGGAGACGATGCCCACGCTGACGCTTTGCCTTTCCCCTGATGGTTTGCTTATTTAAAGTGAGGTTCGAGCCCTCCCTCCTTGCAAGCTATGAGTACGGCAAAAGGCTTCGGAATCTGCGGCCAATTTCCCCCGATATTCTTTTCACGTGAGTATCAGTGAAGATGGTTAAACAAACACAACCTGTGTTTAGTTGATTTCCGTGTGTCTGCCGGCCCCGAAGCACGCCGGCAGGTACAGGGTTCTCCTCCAACCTCAGGAGTTAGGATGCTCAGAGAAGCGACCCCTACCTGCTCACGCACTGAAAGTAAGCGTCCGTCCTAAATACATCGAAATCATCGTCCGTGCACGCTCGGCCCACAGATAACACATTGCTCATGGACTTCCACCAACACGCACCCCTCATGCTTGTTAACTGGGGCATATCCAAAGTCAGAGTCATCCAGCCAGGGACGCCAAAGGGGGCTGGGGAGAGAGGACGGCGCAGAAGGGGCTGTCCTACCTTTTTGATGCAGCTCTCCTGGGAAGACACTTCTGCATCCGTCAGTATTTGCTGCAAAACAATTTGGAGAAGTGTTGTTAGTTTCTGACAAAATGCCGATCTCCAGCTACAGGGGGTTATCAGTCTTGAGGGCAGACCAAGGGCGCCCTCTGAAATCACAGCGGCTTCTCCGCGGGGACTGCAGGGCCTGCGGGTAACGGGGTCCTTTCTTCCAACAGAGCTTCCCGTGTGCTGGGCACTCCAGGCGGCCCCTCAGGAGCGTCACCCCTTGGAGGGGCCACAGCTGGTTCCTGTGGCCCATGTCAGGGATGGAGCTCGCTCTGGCCTTTAGTAACTGGGCAGGGACCCGCACAGGAGCATCTTGGGGCCACATGCGCTGCTGAGACCTTTCCGTGGGGACACAAAGACACTTAGAATGTACAGGGATGACTCTGAGTCCCCCCAGCAAATCGAGCTGCATGCGTTTAGAGAGAACGCTGCCTGTCTTGTGCCGTCCCGGGGGTGCGGGAGGGGAGACAGTGCTTCCCCCGCGGGGCTTACGCTCTGGCCGGGGCGGGAGGGAGTCATGCCAGACCGCGGGGCGGGAGGGAGTCATTCCAGACCGCAGGGCAGAGGTCGTGGACACCGGGCAGGACGGACTGGGGTCACTTTAGAGGAGGGGGCACCGATGCCATTTCTCTGCTCCCTCTTTTTGGGCAAGTCAGAGGCAGCAGTATCTTAACTTGTCTTCACTGACACCCCAAATCCCTGGGGGGGGGCGGGTCTTTCTCCACGGTTTTAGGAGGAACCTTCTGAAAGGAAACCAGGCTAAGGCAGAAAACTGGGGTGCCCGGCACCACGCAAGTGCCCTGGGTGGCCACTGAGGGCCCCCATCCGTGGGCAGCGCCAGGAGCCCCCGCTCCCTGCTCAGGGACGGAGGTCACCATGGTGAGGAGAGAAGGTTCCAGCAACCCGGGTCTTTCTTCTACCCGGGCGGCTTCACCTCGGCGCCTCCTTGGCTCTGTTCTGGGGAGCAGCCGCGTCTCGCCAGGCGACTCCCCTTACAGACCGCCAAGCCCCGCTCCGGAGGGTGGCACTGCAGTGACTGGCCCAGAGCACTGTCTGAGCTAAGCAAACTGACAAATTAGCTGTAGAAATTGGGCTTTTCCCTTCTGGACCGACAGTGGCCGAGCACGGAGGGGAGTATGTAAATTGCAGTGTCGTTTCTGTAGGAGCAGAAACCAGGACTGAACCTAATACTTGGACAAATACAGTGAGAGACGAGGTCAGCACCGCAGGTTTCTTCCCCAGCCCCTAAAACTACACCGCGGCTCCGAAAACCCGCACGGACGGCGCGGGTGCCCCAGTGCCCGCCGGTGCCCCGGCAGGTGGGGACCAGAGTGCTGTGACCCAACAGCTGGGCCCGTTTGCCCGAGCTCAGCTGTAACAACAGTAAGTCATATTTTTAATGTTGAGAATTCTAACCAATTGGGGATTTTATGTTTCTTTTAATAGATTCTGAAATTGTGGTCTGGAGGAAAGTGGTTATAAGTGAAAAAAAGAGAGAATGAGACCAAAAAAGGTGAACACCACAAAAAGCCTCCAAGCGAGTCTCCGCGGCAGAGTCGGCGAAGACTGAGGTGGCGGGTGCTCAGCCCTGGCCCGGGGCTGGACGCTGGGCCGGTCTGAGAGGCTGGGCTGAGTCTGGCCCACACCCGGCGCTTCTGTGCCGGTCTGTCTGCTTTCCCTCCCAAATCCGGAGCCGGGAAGGCTGGCTGGATGCTCGGCAGTGCCGAGAGCAGAGGAGAGAGTGAGGCTGACCACCCAGATCTAGCAACGCCGTGGCTCCCAGGAAAGGGCCGCAGTCACCAACGCCCAAGGTCAGATGCCGCCTCCGCGCAGCCCCTAGCAGAGGGATGGGCCACTGGCCAGCCATGGTCTAGCCTGCCCTGCACCTGGACACCAGCAGGGTCAGAGACTCGGCCAGCATTACACAGGCAGGAGGCTCCATGCGGCGGGTCACAGGGTCTCCTGAGCTGGGTGAAGTTCTGTGGTTCATCAACCATGTCGGCTTCCCAAAGGGGTGGCTTGAACCAGAAGGAGAAACCCTGTGTTTTAGTTTTGCAGAGGAGAGCAGCATTTTGCATGTCCCCGGGGCAGGAGACACAGCTACAGAAGGGCGCGGCCGCTGGGAAGATGTGCCCTTCTCCGGAGCTCCGGCCAAGCCCCTGGTCCTGCTGCATCATGGCTGAGACAGGAAAGCGGCGCTGGACAAGGAAACTGGGACTTCAAGCCTTGGTGGCATTTGAGCCCCAAGCCTCTCCTACCTTGCGTTGAGTTTAGTCAAAGGAGCCCCATTGCCAGCATGCCCCGCACTGCCCAGCAGACACCCCACCATCGGCCCCCGCCCTGCTGAAGCCAGGGTGGGCAGGGACTCCCCAGCACAGAGACATGTGGTTGCTTCACAAAGCCCTGAGCGTGAGCTAAACGCATCAAGAGACACGAGATCTCTCTGGAGCGCAGTTCAGAAGCTGGCATTGCCCAGCTGCCGCGGGACCCGGCTCACTTCCGTTCCAGGTTGTCTCACGCTGGCGTAGGAGGCAGTGCCAGCCCGGCTTCAGCACCCGGAGAAACTGGCGTTGGAAGAGGAGAGCCGCTGAGGACAGGCATGACCTGGCACGGCGCCCAGGCCCGAGCTGGAGGCCGCGCTGGGAGGTGGTTCTCTGGCGGAGTCTCCCTGGTTCTGGTGCCGGAGGAGAGCATGGCTGTCCCAGGTCTGATGAACGAGATGCCCAACCCAGTGCGGCCCCAGGGTTCCCAAGAGTAAGGGGGATAAGTCACGTTGCAGCCCAGCCTCCCTGAGCGCAGAAACTGTCTGCGGGTCCTGGTGCCAGTCAAAGGCTGGGCTGGAACCAGAGCCTGGGCCTTCCTGCCCTGGGCGAATCGCGGAACGAGATGCCACGTCGTGGGCACCGCCAGCCAGGGCCTGCTCACACATGGCCATCCCGGAGCCCGTGGCACCTGGGCTGGCCGGGGAGGTGGCACGTGGTGGCCTCTGGCTGGACATTTCCAAGGGGCTCCCCCCTCCCAGAGATAGTGTGTGCCTGGGGCCCGTTCCAGCCGGGCTCGGTTTCTCTGCACACCCATGTGCTCGGGGGAAAGCAATGAAGCCCCCGCTGGGGTCAGCCCGGGAAACCCCGAGAGCACCACACCCCCATCTGGAGGAGCCTGGAGTTCGAAGCCTCCACCTACCCACAGATGTCACCCTGGGCCCACTGTGGCCTCAGACGCTCGGCCTCCGGGGAGGGATGCCCTCCAGCTATCCTCGGCCCCTTTCTCTGTCGGGGTGTGTGTGCACCTTCAGCTACGGGGCGGCAGCTCTGTTTTCACTTTGATTCCTGGGGGCCTGACTTTCCTCCCTCCCTTCCTTCCAAGGCCCCAGTTTAGGAGGCAGCCATGAGAAACCACGTCTGCCCCTTGCAGGGCACATACGTTGCCTTGTAAGCATGTGGGAGGTTCATGAGGCAACTATTCCTTGCGGTCACTTGGTGGGCAGGGTCAGAGGTTCCCCTGGGTTCCTGGCTGGTCAGCCAGAAGGGTGCAGGTGGGACTTACTCCTTCCTGAAGATCCTAGGGGCCACATCCTGGAAATACGTCTCCCCGTGCGTCGGGAGCAGCTGCTGGACTGAAGCGGGGCCAGGCCGCTAGGGCCTGGGGAGTGTCAGGGGCCCCCACAGGAGAAAAGCGGCGGGGGGCTGCCTGCTCCAAACTCCACAAGAGCTGGCAGGTGTCTCTGAGGAGGCGCCACCGCACTCCGGGGGCCGGAGTGGGCTCTGCAGGCCGCAGGCGTGGTCCTTCCCGTGGCCTGGCTCCTCCAAGCTCCACCCCGCGTCCAAGACCGCACACCAACATCTCCTGCCCATCCGGGAGACCTAGTCAGGAGCCAGCACGGGGAGCATCCCCAGGAGGGCGGGCCAGCTTCCCGGCAGTGCGGGGCGGCCACTCTCCCAACAGAAGACATGGGCACCATGTGGACAGTCACACGGCCACTCCCCACCTCTCTGCCGTCCCTCAGCTCAGCTGGGCACTGTCTAGGACAGCCGCGTCCCACAGCCCTTGGGCTGAGGGTGGCCAGAGCCACTGTCCTTTGTCTGAGGCTCAGATGTGGCCACATGGGATGGCACGTCCCAGTGTACCCTGCGTCGTGCTGCCGTCCTCGGAGGAGTCGGCACGGTCTGTGCATAGGTTCGGCTCCTGCCTACTCCCCAGGGCTTGTGGCCAGGTGGGGGCACAGAGCTGGGTGTTCCAACGACACCGTCCCTAACGTTCAAGATGCTCCGTACAACGCACAGAGCAAGAGGGACTCAGAACCTCGGGCAGGGCCGGGCCAGCACCTGTGGGCAGGCGCTTCACTCCCAGGCCCCTCGGTTCTCTCTGTGGGTCCTCTGAGCACAGCACGTGGTTCCCTGCAGGCTGCAGGCTGTGCCTGGTCGCGTGGTCGCACTGGGGCAGAGCGTGCGGCCACAGACGGTCGGGGAGAACCATATGTGCATGTCCGGCCCGACCCAACCGCCCCACGTGCCACTCGGGGGAAGCAGGCGTCCGCTGACTTTAAAGAAAGACGCGTCCCCTTGCACACGGGCGCCCGAGCCGCGCTCCTGCCTGGATGCCATGGCCGCCTTGGCAGGTACGCGTGTCATTCACTCTGCCCGCTCACCCAGCGCTGACCTCGGGTAAAAGGCGGCCGGACGTGCTCCTGGAGTCTCTCAGCCTTGGCTTCCTCCCCTGCCAAGGCCGCCGCTTCGCTGAAAACCCTCTTTATTTGCTGGCGTAGCCCTCAGCACACGCACCGCCGGCCGGCTGGTGCTGGCCGTGGCGCGCGGCTCTCAACTTCTCCGCAGCCCGGCAGAAGTATTAGGTGTGTTTTGATTAAGAGTTTCAGCCAAAAGAGCGAGGTTTGACCTCTGGCATTTAGCTTCTCTCGTGGGTATCGGTGCCAGGATTTAGCTAAGTGGGGCTGGTAAAAACATCTTTTTTGACTCTTAAAATAAATACCCTCTGTTCTCCAGGAA